GGGGGGGGGGGGGGCACCGCTGTGTGTTTGTACAGACTGGATAAGGAGATAAAACTGTGTTGTTTCAGTTTATTGACAGAAAGACAAACAAGGACTTTAGTTACACTACAACATTTATAGACTCAACTGGTCAAACTCACTGTGATTGGTTAGAATTACTACGCTGATTTAAAATGATTTCATGCTGCAAGTCCCTGATTTAACAAATTAGTCGGCAGGAACGTCCCATAGAGTGCGTGGACAGTGCTGGATTACTGGACTGCTTCCTCTGTAGAGATGAATTCAAATAATGAAGTTCAAATAGACGGATTTCTGAGGGTTTTTGGGGTAAAAAGTGTCTCTTAAAGGTTTTGGACCTCTGAGCCAGATCTAAGAAAAGTTTCCAAAAAAGGTTTTGCATCAGGGATAGAAAACGTCATCAACACGCTCAGTCGGACAATACTTTTTACGAGGGAGCTGGCCGAGTAACGTCTACAGGGTTCAGGGTTGCCATGCATTCATCATCTGCAACCTATCGGTACATATTGAGATGTTTCAGACCAGAACGGCGTACAGAGCTACAGACAGACATTATTTACATCAATCAATGCGTTCTGAGGTGAAGACTCGTCAGACTGTGATAGAAACCAAACGTTTCAGTCTCATCATCTTCCCACCACTCCAGTGTTTTCCTGTCTAATATTTGCCAACTATTACTTCACCACCTCTTAGAAATGTTAAGTAAATAAACTTCAGAGTAAAATACTGCTCGCAATGGAAATACCTCTTCTAAGCTCTTCTTGGCAAACACTTTCCAGGTTGTTGCCTCATCGTACACACTCGGTATTAAGCTCTTAATTTCAGACAAGAAACCTCAGCTGCCACCTGAGCGCTCACATTAAGGAGGATCTTTGTTGTCAGAGCTGTATGTTGTTGACTGGGTCTGAGACGCCGGTGAGTTGGCTGGACCGCGCTGGCAGAAGCACTGTTGATGTGGGCAAAGGTTTCTCATGTCGTCATAGAGACGCTACTGTTTCAAAAGCCGTTTCTGACTCACTGATTCACACTAATTAACTGCCGCACACTTTTATGTGGGGAGAGACCTCAGAGTGCAGCTCCACCTTTTCTAAATTTACTGCCAGTGTGGGTGAATGCGGGCGCTACCACGGAGCTAGTGGACGCTAAAGTCATTAATATAACAGCAGGTTTATGGCGAAACAATGGAGCTTCCTCAATACATGGTACTGAGGTTGAACTCCGAGCAATCTGAGCTGCTCCACCCGTTCTGGACGATGCTCGGGATTCGGAATAAACGGTCGGGTCTTCGCAGAATAATGAAAATAATAATAATGATGTAGGTTGTTTATTTTAGGACATTTGCACTTTTAGTTTCCATTTTCTGAAAATAAGCACTTGAGTTTTGTTTTGATTCTTGTTAAGTTTTAGTTTCCTATAAATGAATCAAACAACAGTTCCTATGAGCGTTGACAGCAGCAGCGACACTTTCCTGAGGTTCATTAATCCTCCACCAGCACAGACTGTGGGGGGACTCACTTTATTCAGAGTAAGTCATCTGGAAGTCGTTTTTATTCAGTGTTTCAGTTCACATTACTGTTAAAGTTTCATTTGTTTATTCCTCCGGTAACCACTTTCCTTGAGGAAACGCTGATGTTTGTTTATCGTCTCTCGGGGACGCTGCTCATCTTCTGCTCTCTTATTATTCGTGCCAAGCAGGATTTCATAACAGCGCCTGTTGTACATCATGTTCAACTGGTTGAAACTGTTAAAGGTCTCAAATATCAGGCTGCCGACCATAAACTACAATGTCTGAGGCCCTTGATCGTATCTCTCCCTCATTACTAACTACTGCGATGTTTGAAGTCTTTTATTTGTGTGTTTCATGGATCTATGGATGAATATCTCAACAGCTACTGGAGACTGGTCACTTTTCATTCTAGC